GAGTTGTCACTGAATTACGAGAGCTCAAACTCTTAACAACACTCTTTTGACTACTGACATATCTATCCAATGGAAATCACACTCATCAGGGTTCTCAAACCTTAGGCCTTAGTTTTATCAAATGCCCATGAATTCAAGGATTCTTCGCCCCGACAGCGATATGTTAGAGGGAGTAAGGGATCCTACTTGGAGCATCCCGAATCCCATTAACCCTTAGAACAATGCATGAACACAATTGAAACGGAACAGATTGAAGTGACACTGTCGCCAGCTACTGCTTCATTAACTTCTAAGTGTGGAAAGGGCAAATGTCCCGAAAATAAATATAAAGGCATTTCCTCCAGAGCTATTGCTGGCTGTTTTATTAGACTCCCGTCTGAACCGTGAAGGAGTTATTCAACTCCGGACTTAAGTAAAGTTGCTAACTTTGCATGGCCGTTTCGTAGCCATTCTAATGTTTTATGGCCTTTAGAAAAATTGAACGGCTATTACATAATAACGTTTAAAACTGCGTAAATACAGGGGAAGTCATTCTTGCAATTCGGACTCTTTAGTCAATTCAGAATTACGTTTTCCTCAATTCATCCTTGGCTTTTCATCCCACTACCACTTACGACAGACATTTCACTACAACTTATTTTTTTGCTAAAATTTTCCAACTTATTTGTGTAAGTAGCTCCATTAAGAAAACTAAATCCAACAAAACTTTTTGCCCAACTACACACAACATTTTGAAAATGAATACTTTGTTACCACTGAAAAGTAGTAAATAATGAGCTAAGGGGAAAGAAGAATGAAGGAATAACACGCCTTTTCTCTCCGTGAATTTTAAAACAAAATCCTCCGTGTAATGGAAAAATAATCTTACTTTGCAGGAAAATTGCTTTTAAGGAGAAGAGAGAAGAAGAAAGTGGAAGAGTGTCTTATCATCGTAAATTTAATTTGTCCGAGCAGTGGATGTGCCTTTAGGGTAGGCAGTAGACTTAACTTAGAAATTCAAGGAGGGAGGTGTGCACAAGGATGAATGACTTCAGGCTTAGAACTTGCCAATTTAGATTCAGCTAAGGGTAATAATAATTATGAGTTGAAGTTGTATATTACAATAATGCCTTAGGATTTATCTTAAAACTCATTCAAATTGTCATTGCTTCTCACCGAATTGTTTGTTTCTGAAGCCACATGCTGGCAAATGTCCATCTCATATGCTTACGTTCAGACATCGACGGCACTTGCTGAATGCAAAATAACTAACCTTGCGGGTTTGGGTTGGCCCATGACTCGAACCTTGATGTTGCAATATGTGACACGAGGAAAGTGGCCACTGGTGTCCCATTCCTCGCCCTTTGTGAGGTCTTGCAGGAGTTGTAGTCCAAAAAACGTGCTATTAAAGCCAGTGAAGCACTTCATCAGATAGATCTGGCCCAAACAATTGGCAATAAAGAGGGCGCGCACAAAGAGGAAGAGAAATGTAAGACGTGCATTGGGTGGGATGCCACAGAGGCATCGATTTACAAAGGACTTCATGCGCCGAAATCGCGATTGCGACTCCGCCTGCTCCTCCAACGTGGCAACAAGGCAGGAGACGGCTTTGAGACGCAATTCGCGGTCTGGAATGGAAGCCTCCTTGGCGGATTTGAGCAGAAGGGGAAGACGACGCGAACAGACACGCCAGAGGAGATGCGGTACCCAGGACATCATAGCCTGGCCAGCTAAAACTATTGACATCCACTGGTAGTAGCCGATGAATTTGATTTTCTCGTACTCCAGCTCTTCTGCAGGAATGTCTTCGTGAGGCAGGAGGAAATAGGTGTTTGACACCCAACAGTAATTCTCGGTATACTCCTCCCATGCTCGTGTGAATTCTGGAGGTACCCAACATTGGATCGGCTTTCCTAAGGTTAGAAATTCTATTGCATTAATATCACTGTAATCCAACCATTGCTGGCATATGTTCGCCAATTTTAGAATAGTAGGAGAAGATATTCGACAAAAGATAAAGAAGCAAATTACTTTAAAGACGGTCTGCTGGTTTAAGTTAAAGAATTGGGAAATGTATCATCCAAGCTTGACAAAGAAACACATTTCCACCATTAGCGTCTAGCCATCTGGTAAGTCTTCGAAGCGGCAATTTGCAGGGCTACTTTAAAGGACCAAAATGTCAACCTACTGGCACTTAAGTGCCACTTAAAGTTGTCAAAATTTTGCTTTTTACACCCTTACGAACGCTATTTTTGCATGAAGATTCGCATCAGATTTCCTTTTCTTTATATCGTAACTCCTAACACTTCCTTTTTGTCCATGCAGCAGAGTTGTGATGGAAAAATGTTAAACTCTTGTCGCCAAAATAAGGCCCACCATTAAAAATTAAAGGTGGTAATGCGTAATACCAAAGTGTTTGGAGGTTGCGATGAAATGTCAATTATAGAGGCTTGGATTCCCAAAAAGCGAGTCGAAGGTAGCATTGGAGTCTGGGAGCAAAGTCATGTCGCCTTGCTTTGAATAACTTATTTGGCGCATACCTCATAGCCAAATGGTAAAACAGTAAGAAACTTTCATCTACTTGATTGCTTCATTTCTATTAGTGAAACGAAGCTGTTAAGGTATAACATTTCAGTGAAATGCCAAAAACGTTTGCTTTATTCAAACACGGTAGGGCGTTCCCTAGGAAGCATTATTAATCAAAAGGGTAAAAAGCATTTCGAACACTGTTTTGAGGAATGCGCTCTTTAAGTTGGTCAAATTGATAATGAGTGTGTGGAGCAACTAACTCCCTTTCCACCAAGTAGGGTCTAATGCTAACCCTCAACATCAAAGTTCTTTAAAGCTCCTTAAAAATCTTTTTGTACGACAGTAATGTTCAACACCTTCAAGTGTCTTAATGAGGTGCCTCCAATCCCATTTATAATTGCAGACGTCGTGTCTACTTTTGTGAAGAAAAAGAATAACTTAGTAGACAGAAGATGAATGGTCCGGACTAACTCGCACGCCAAGAGACAATGGAAGGAGGGAGCAAAGCGATCATATTCAAACTTAAGTCGGGAGCTTTTGCCACCGAGCCGTTCGAGGGCAAAAACAGGTGCGTATATGCGTAATTTAAATTTCGAAAATGAGAGGACCAAGTTTGCAAATGCCTATGATGTACGAATCACGAATGGATCTGGTCCATGAATGGACAGCTCTCCTCCAAAAAATTAGAGCTACGCTTTTGAATTTCTTTAATGTTGTCCAGGGAAAAGAAATAAGCAAAGCTTCATTTCTTAAAAATGCTAATATTAACTACATAAACGAGGGCATTTTTTTTCATTTCGAATGACTTTCTTACCTCGGCCTTTTAAAATATAGCTCCTACTGTGTTCGTGCAGGTGAACATAAAACTGGATGAGGCAAAAATTTATGATTGTTGTCCATTTTTGAGTTCTTTCTCGGTTCTGTAAGAAGGGGAGTTGCGCATCTTCACAAACTTAAAAACCACCATTTGATGCTTGATGGGATTGAAAATCGTGGATAGGAATTGGAGCTTGCAAAACTCCCCATCGCATAAAAAACCCAGCCTTTTTAAGCCTGCTGGGTGACAAGACCTTATGAAAAATTAAAAAGCCTTGCGATTATGCGGCGCTCATAAGTTTAAGGGCTATGGTCCCTTTAAACTCCCATCTCCTTGTCTTATCTCCGGGCAGATGTTAGCATTCTGAATTGGTAAATGTTTATGGTTTGTATTAATGCTTCACCATTACTTTTATACTGTTCCATTAATGACAAAAGAGTCTTCTCACACTTTTTATCATTGTAATGCCAAAAAAGAACACTGAGTAGGACAAATCTAAAATAACTCAACTACCAATTTCGTGTCGTGGGAAGAAGGAGTTGTCAGGCTTTTAAGTTATTGTACCCACGGCTGCAGATGGGACGGAGAATTGCACAAGCACTTGCAGTCCCCAAGGCATGATGCCATGGGGGTCACTTGTGTCAAGACAAGTTAGTTACCTTAACAACAAAATACTCTCCGATTTGGATATTTCTTCCACAACTAAAATCTGTCCACTGTGTGGACACCTCAGAATGGGTATTTTTGAAACAACTTTGGTGAACTTTGTGCATTTGGTTGATTACGTTAGTCTTGGCATTTGTCACTTCAAGAAATGCATGCTTAAATGCGTCCGAAATATGCTTGGGGAAAAGAACGCCTAAGGTAAACATGTGTCTGAAAATGACGGACCCTCCAAACACTTTAATGCAAATGCATCCCCAAACGGGAGGCGGGGTGAAAGGAAGGACAACGGTGCGAATTCCACACACCGAAATGAGTAATGCATACATCTTTACGATATGATAATGTAACTGGCGAGCTGAAAATTAATTTCAAATCTATTCATTTAACCAATGGGGACTAGTGGAAAGATGAAAGAGTGGAAAATATCAGGTGAACTAGGAAAAATCTCCAGAATTTTATTCAGCAGGATAGTGCTAGGGTGTTGCTTGTTAAATTTGATCCTTTTGGCATGGAATGAAACTCTTCTCCTGAAGTACAGACTCAGACTGATTTAGGTTGCTTGCATAATTAACACAGAGGAACAACTGCTCGCCTCTTGGAAGTTCGGCGATAAGAGGGAGTTGATGAACCTTACATCCCCTACCTGGAATTAATGCGTCACTAAGTCTCATAAGTGTTCATGCATTTTTTATTCCCTATTCCTGTACAATATCTTCTGTGGATCTGACGGTTCGCAACGGCCTAATAACTACCTTTTAAACCGGTAACAAAAGTTATCCGATCCTTAATTAGCATAAAGTTACTTTTAGCGAAACGGCGTAACCCAAGTCTACTGTGTAATAGACAGTTACCTGTTTCTGTGTTTTCTTTAAATGAAATTGGCCGCCACATGCAAAACCAACATTCTCAACACTTAAATGCGGAGGCACATGTCCGACTGCGGGATTACTGCATGATATGACCCAGGTTTGGCCAAAGTACTTAATGTTATGGCCGAATTCCTGTTTTCCAAGTTCAAGCAACCCGTAATGGGTGGTTTACTTGCTAATAGTTGGTATAAGTGGGAAAAAGATTTCTTTATAAAGTGGTTGGTACAATAGGAGGAAAGCAGGACATAATTTGTCCTTAAAGAGTCGATACTTGCGGAGTAGAGGAGGCTTGTGAAAAGGAGAAGGAGGTGGAAGAAAAGATTCCAAAGGAGGTCCACTAATTACAGGGCAGTGAGACACATAGGGAGAGAGAAAGGTCTGTTCAACACTATACCTTCTGCTGCGTCTTGTCATCGCTACTTTTATGCGATCCTGCACAAAGGCTTGCAGTTATTTTAATGTGAGGGTTGCTTAAACAAGCACCAGCGGTCTGCAAGGCCTTCAATGCTTAATACTTCAATTCAAGCGCTTTTTTGAGATGCTTTTTAACTCACAAAACCATTGACTACATACCTTAATTCAAATGGTTATACAAACAAAAGTAAGTAAGCGGTATTCAGTAACATGGTTATGCTAAAGTGCTTTATCGTCCTGACGAAGCCCGCACAAAAGTCAATGGCATATGATGAGGTGATTCATGTAAAATGCGACCCAACACGCGGAGCTAATCAGATGAATAAGATCACGGTAAGGATAATAAAACTAACTCTTTCAACTTTACCTTCTATAATCTTTTAATAAGTTTGGGATCATAGGCATCTTTTGTTAGATGAGAACTGCTTCATACTTCAGAAGTGTGATTCACTTACTAGTGTAATAATCACTCTTGACTATAATGCATTCATTCGAAATTCAGGCTACTGTGACAAAGTAGACTGATATGAATTGCATAATTGATATTCATTTTAGAAATTATTGGCAACCTTACCGACGTACTGTCGGAGACTGATAATGATGATGAAAATTAGTATTAATCCACCAGTGAATTGGTAGTTAAGTTGATCGATAAAATCGACACCTTCACCACCGTAGGGAGTACGAAATAGTCGCCCGAGTTTGAAAACAAATCCACCGTCAAGTAGACCACCGGCCCCACGGGCCATGCCTCAAATTCGGCTCGCCTCGGGATGTCTAGGTTTGCTTAATGACGCGTGTCCCGTGTCGCAGGTGCACCGCGATACTAGCATTGTGTCGGTCAGAGGGAGTGTCCCATTTGTACGGAGTCAATTTTATTATCCACGTGAACAGGGAGGGGATAACAAATGAGTCTTTCTTCTCTTTTCTCTTATCTGGTTGTTTGTTATTCTTGGTACAAGTCAATAATCACACAGCAGCGAAGAAGTCAAAAGTCCTACCGCTGCTTTTGGTGGTAGCGGTGACGGAGAAGGTGATGGTGGCGGTGGCTGCGGTGGAGGTGGTGGAGGTGGTGATGATGTTGGATGTGGGAATGCCAGTGTAGCGGTTATTGCTCATTCAATTATATCCCAGAGCTGCCGCTTCTGCTGCCGCTAATGCCGATACGTTGAAGATCTGTGAAGCTGCCCCATTGGCTCCTGCCTGCTTTGCACATGCACGTGCGCACACACTGTCCACACACACGCAAGCACGCACGCACTCCGTTTGAGAACGAATTGACGAATGATTGCGCGCATTCGACCTTGAGGCTTAAGCATCTCTATTCGTGTGTTCGCACACACAAATGTACCAGCTATGGGTGGCCAATCAGAGAGGGGTGATGAGGGGCACTGACCAATGGTAATGAGGCAGAAGTCGCGTGTGCATTTAGGGTGTTAGCGCGCTGGCTAGTGGGTCTAAAAATAACTTTCCTTTCCAACGACTGCCACGCACCTACCAGTGGTACGGTCAGACCGCACCTCTTCCCAGACCAGCTCAAACTAGCACGTACATGCACGCGCGCACTCACACGCCCATGCCCGAGGGAGGAAGGGAAAGGAGGCGTAGGATGAGATTAGAGAGTCACGCCTGGGAAGATTGGTCAACTGTCATTAGAACAAAGCTGGCCTCCTAATTCCACCACTCAACTGAATGACACGTTTCCACCTCCTTTTCAGCCATTAAACCTCCTCTCACGAAACGCAGCTCAAAAAAATGCTTGTTGTTTATTATTAGCATAATTGATCGCCTTAATCTACAGAACAAAATCCCCAGGAGGGATCAGTACAACACTAGCTCCTGTGTTGATCATATCATTTTAAAAGTACTAAACACCACTGTTATCAATACCTCCACTCATGTAAAACGAACTGGTTCCACCAACATGCAAAACAAAGTAAATAGAAATCGCTCTTTACCAGAGATTTATGCAGATTATTAAGTAACTTGGTAATTTAGCGGCGGCTTCTGAATTACTACGCTTCCGTCTATACTGTAATAAAGGCAAACTTTCCCCATTTTGTGGATTATTTTACCTGAAAACAGGAAATCAGATTTAGCACATTGCAGAAAACTTGATTAGATTAGTAGCAGTACATAATGAATACCGCATTTGAATACCATTGGGTTTTAGGTATCCAAAGGGAGTCCTTGTTGCATTGGTTAAGTGTCAAAGTCAAATTGTGTTGGATTCGGGTCACACCAAGTTAGTGGTTGGGATTGTGCTCCAGTCCACCATAGCAGTTTGCTAGACAACAAGTCGGGGGTTTTTACAGTTCTATGATCTCACCTAGTACAGGCTACCACCTTCAGTACAGCAGTGGTACATGCTGTAATATACCTCATAATACTAGCGGTCGGTAGATTGCTGTTACTATCATCAGAAGTGGCTAACTTAAACTGCGCACCTCCAAGGTAAATCCTCTGGCATTGTTCATAGGACTCTAGAGATCGAAGTTATCCACTTTCTTCAACTAATTAAAAAGCATAAAAATAGTTTTAGAGACGCAATTTTAATGATTAAACGATAAGACATATGCAAGAAGACCCTTTTCTAAACGTCACTTTTTAAAAGTCGGATGCTCATTTACTTCACAGATTACTTTACGCTAATCCCTAGGCTTGCTAAAACGCATCGCAAACCATGGATGTCTCTTTAAAGAACAAAAGCTTGACAAATCACAGTACCACAGTGCATTTGGGCAAGGGAACGACAAAGATAGTGGCCTTTAACGATTGCATTCGCATCACTTAATCATGACACTGTTTAATCCTAGTGCTGTTGATTCATGTCGTATCAAATAAAAACGGAACTCCGGCAGCGTACTGGCGTTAATGAATCCAAATTTACTCGTTTATGTGCCCGTAATCTGTTCGCATACATCTTGCCAGGTTTAATGAAAGATGAAATGTGTCGATTGTGCAATGCATCATTATATATCTTAATTTCTCATTTCTCAGTACTAAAACAGGCTGGAGGCCTTCCACCTCAGTCACGCATGACCGAATCGGATCTTGAAATTCGGATTTCAAAATCACTGTTACTATTAATAAGTTAACAGTAGACAAGTCGTCACGCATATAAAAATTTGCGCAAAATTTACAACATTGGGACAAATTATAATGAAGCTAACTTTGCAAAGTAAGTTAAGTAAAAATAACTTGTGCTCACTTGTATTTTGCGCCATAGTGTCAATGGATTCCTTAATCGGCGACGACATTTTCGGCGTTGGATTCAGACCTAAAACAGCTAATCTTCAAGCAGCATGCGTCCGACTACTCAGTTTTCGCTTCAAGCACTGGAAAATCATGCAACTCTCAACAGACTCATCTCATGCCAGAAGATTTGGGCGAATGCAAGGGCCAGGTTTCGTGCTAAGTCAATCATTGTGCGCGTGTGTACGTCGTTTTTGTTTTGTTTTTTTTTTGAATTTTTTAAAAATTTTTTAATGAATAGAGCTCAAAAACGCACCTGTAAGGTCCCAGTCAACCTAAAGCACATTAAAAAAGTTTACTTGACTAGATACTCCCTTTCTTTAACAATTGGAAGGTTTATATGCGCTTCGTGGATAAAATTTGGGTCTTTGTGAATGAGCGGAGACGAGACTGCTTAGGGTGTCAAAGTTTTGCAGGAGCTGCAATTTGACTACCTGGTAAACTTGCATGTACAGATGTAAAATCAACGTAAGAAAAGCATGCCATTGAACAGAAATAGATACTCTAAATGATTCTCGTGTGGTCACTTCTGTAGGTCATATTAAAAGTGTAAGGTAGCACTAAAGGCAACAAGTTGCTAACGCCTCTGCAATTTACCTTTAAGAATCACATTAATTAACAACCTCAACCACTTTGTTAGTCGTTTGGGCAGCTTTGCAGCATACAAAATCGTGGGTAAACAACCATCATCCCCCAAGTCCCGCCAAATTGTTCAGACATAGAGCTTTTCTGGTAATTGCACGAAAAATGTAGCGGTTACACTTAGTGCTAGATTATTAGGGAAACGATTGCTGATGTAGCCACTGGCAACAGTTGGACTAAAATGCGTATGCCTCCCAGTGTCGGCTTTTTAGTAATCCTCCCGCTATTATGAGAGAGAGAGAGAGAGAGCGGATCAAATATGATAGATATTTACCATTCTAACTCAAATAAAGCCTCCTCTAACTTTTTGCTGACCAATAAGGCTTTGAAGGAAAATGGCGTGTGTGAGCTATTCAGTATTTTGCTAGTTGCAAAGAGGAGAAACAAGGAAATTCAATTCTTTTTGTATCTTACAAAAAGGACAAACC